TTTTTGTGGCACAGGTAATTGGTACCTGAAGATATTGCTAGCTTAAATTTGAGAGATTTTAAATAATAAGTAAATGTTACTTGAATGAAAAGAGAAGAATATTCTAGAACTAGGCACTAAAGATAGAAGTAAAAATACACAGAGGAAGGGAACTTTTCTTTATTAATAATTGCTAACATTTGTTTAAAAATTTAGTTTGCAAACCACTTTCAACCTATTTGATCCTCCCAACAGTTATTAAATAGGTATTATTCCATTGTTTATCTACTAGAAAAGTGAGATTCAGAGAGATTAAATGACTTGCCCAAAGTCAGTCATGACCACATATTATCTATTTTTGCTAATCTGCTACTTCACCTTTTACCTTCTCAATCAATTAATAAATGCAACTTTTTCTTCATTTTCTTTTTTTTTTTTTTTTTGGAACTGTTTGGACTGAATGATTGATTTGGGGCCTGGGGGCAGTGAGCCTTTTACCTTCTCAATCAATTAATAAATGCAACTTTTTCTTCATTTTCTTTTTTTTTTTTTTTTGGAACTGTTTGGACTGAATGATTGATTTGGGGCCTGGGGGCAGTGAGAGAGGAAAGAAGAAAGTATTACTTTTTAATCTTCTGTGAAGTAAACAGATTCATGTTTATTATTTGCCTTACATAGGTATATTATACTTTGGTGGTCAGTGAAAATCAAATGTAATTTAAAAATTTGTTCTTATGTCTAATAATTGCCCAAAGCATATTTCTTCTCATGGATGAAGGAACACAGAGGTAGCTATCCCAGGAAGATTTAGCAAGTGAAGGGCTTGATTAGAAATAGCTAATGTTCTGATAATATAGGAAGAATACATCAACATATCACCTGTGTTCATGACTTGGTAGAGACTATCTGGAAAATAGAGATAGAGAGGTGGGCAGAGAGAGAGTGGGCAGTAAGGGGTAAAGAAGCAGCTGGAAATACTTAGAATCTGTAATGAGATAATTAAGACTAATTAGCGGGCCCTGTAGGCAAAAAGCAGCCCATTACGTCCAGATCCAGTTTTAATAACTTACCTGGTTTTGAGGGTAGAGAGTGCAGAGCACCCCAGGGAAAGAGATGCTTCAGGGATGAAATTTTAGGGTAGGTTTCTTAGAAAAAGAGTAGCAGTAGTCTTCAGTGGGTGGTGTGTTTTTCTTCTGGGAACTAAAACATTCTAATTTCCTAAGGAGAATTACAGAGAACCTCAGTTTTCTCATCTATTAAATGGAAATACCTACCTTAAAGGGTTGTCATGTGGTTTAAATAAAATAAAGATATATGAAAAGGTCTAGAGTAGTTCCTATCACAAAGCAAGTACTTAAATATTAATTAAGAAACATTTATTGAGTGCACTGTTAGAAGCAATAACTGTCACTGGGACCTCAAAATGAGGCAAGTTCAGTGCTCTTAATGCGTCTACTTTGCCGTTGGTACTTGGAGCTATTATTTTCCTATAGAAGCAAATGCTGATAATACTTCCTGACAGATGCTATCCTGTCCTCCCTAAAGCCACAAGTCATATTAAAGCTACCTAGAACTCCTAGGCAGTTTAGAGGGAAACTGAAATGAAAATCAAATTCTGGCCAGCTAAGTTCGAAGGAACAGCTAAGCACATTTCTCAAATCTTACTCTAATAGAACTTTAAAAGTGCTATCCTAACCAAGCCTTGAGAAATAGCAGATGATGTGGGACTAGACCTGCAAAAGTGACTCTTCTGAGATCAAACATTGTTACTTGGTTTTGAATGGATTGTTTTCCTGATGCCAGTGAAAATATTAGTCTATAAATTGGCACTTCACCTTCAAATCATATTCGTTTCCGGGCCGTGGTCTTGTTAGAAAAAAAATAACTGGAAGTTTTAATCATTATTCATAAAATGATCACATATATATTTGGCATACAAAATATATTACTGCATACTTGAATATGAAGTTATAAGAGAGTGGGCTCATGTTTTCTTCTTTCATATCAGAAATAGTAAATGATACCTCTATGCATAATGCAAATGAGGAAAAAACCTTTAGTAGATGTTGTTTAAAGATGTTTGCTTGATGTAAACAAAAATGGCCAGTTCTCCAGCTTAGGTGATATAACATGTTGCAGTGACAGGAACAGTCCTAACTGAAACACAATAGTAATAATGCACTAGTGTCTCACATTTGCCTATGTTAAACTCAAGTGATTGCCTAGTAATTCCATTGTGCTCACCAGAACCAAGCTAATTGTTCCTCACTCTCTTCTGGCTTTATGCAGCTCCAAAATCAAGATTCTGTGACACTGACTTTAGTCCCCACCTCTGATGCATGAAGAGCATGAGTTTGGGAATAAAGCAAACCTGATTGGGGATCCTAGCTCACTGACATTTACTAGCTGAAGGATATTGGGCAAGATACTTAACTCATTTGACCCTCTGTGCTTGTATGTAAGATGCAAATCATACAATTCATGGGATTGTTATGACCATTAATGACTTGCAACAGTGTTTTGAACACAGAGCCACATAATTTTTCTTTAAGTAATTTAAGTGCCAAATTCATTTCCTACACATAATAAACACTCAGGAAATAACTGCTGTTAGTCACTCTACAAATATTTGAGTGCCGGAACTTATTCTAGACACTGGGGATACAGCCATGATCAAAATAGACCAAGTTCTTTCCCTATGGAGCTTACATTCTAGTAGAGAAGACAAACAAAAAGTGAATAAATACGTAAATTAATAACCAGTCATGTAGTAAATCTCATGAAAAGTAAAGCTGTTTATGGGATTGGAAAGTGATGAGGAGAAGAGGCACTGTGGGTACCATTTTAGATAGAGTGGTCAGGGAAGGCCTTTCTGAGGAAGTGACATTTAAATAGAATTGCTGCCCACGTTACTGTCTTTAGTATTTGCTTCTTGACATCTCCCTGCACATTTTGGTGGCTTGTCTCTAGTGCTCCTGTTATCCCTGTTTGCCTCAAAATTTGATTGGGAAAAGAGGTGGAGTCAGGAAGTTTTTTATCTGTAGCTCAGAATATTAAGTGAGGGGTTGAAATATTAAAATCCTAGATTGATGTTTGTTCTGAATAAACATAGTTATCTTGGAAAAGCTTTGTACCCAAAGGAAGGGTACTGGACTGGCAATCTTGGGGTCACACATTATTTGATTACCATAATCACCTCTGTAAGTCCATGTTAAACTCAAGGCAACAAAAATGCGAATGGCTGTCATTTATTAAGTGCCAGGCACTGGGCAAGGAAGGGTTACAGATGTTTTGTCACATCTAACCTCCTCACAGCTAACTTTATGAAGTAATATTATGTCTCTTAATTACAGATGAGGATGCTAAGGCTTAGACGAGTGAAGTGACTTTACCCAAAGCCAGATAGCTAACAGTAGCAGAGTTAGGATTCAAGCTTAGAAAGCTTTCTAATTTCAAAGCATCTACTCTTTCTAGTACCCTTATCTACCTGCACAATAATTATCACTGTTCTTACATGGTATATATATATAAAGTACACATGTTATGTATTTAGGATTTGATAATGTTTAATTTTTATTGTATTTTATATCAAGTTTTAAGAAAATAAGGAGTTTTTAAAACTCACTTATATTGAGCAACTACTTTTCATTTAAACACAGTCTTTCCCTAATATTATGCCAGACACTGTTCTAGGTGCTAGTACTATACTACTAGTACCACCACTACTATTTACTGAGTGTTTTAGTCCGTTTTGTGATGCTATAACAGAATACCTGAGACTGGGTAATTTATAAAGAAGAGAGGTTTATTTGGCTTATGGTTCTGGGACAGCTGCATCTGGCGCAGGCCTCAGGCTGCTTCTACTCATGGCAGAAAGTGGCAGGCAGCTGGCGGGTACAAGCAGATCACATGGCAAGAGGAAGTAAGAGAGAGAGAGGAGGTGCCAGGGTCCTTTAAACAATCAGCTCTCAAGGGAACTAATAGAGCGAGAACTCACACACTACCCCTCCTCCCCCAGGGAGAGCATTAATCCATTCATGAGGAATCCCATGACTCAATCAGTTTCCAACCCTGCCACATTGGAGATCAAATTTCCACATGAGTTTTGGAGGGGACAACACATCCAAACTCCATCACTGAGCATCTGCTATTTTTCATGTCTTATAACATTTAGTCTTCACAGTAACACTCAAAGTTAGGTATTTGTATTCTTATTTTATAGATGAGGAAACTGAGTGCTTAGTAATATATCCAAAGTTAAACAGTCTGTGGTGGAGTCAGACCCCTAGGCCTGTTTACTGTATAGCCCATCTTCACAGTAACACTCAAAGTTAGGTATTTGTATTCTTATTTTATAGATGAGGAAACTGAGTGCTTAGTAAAATATCCAAAGTTAAACAGTCTGTGGTGGAGTCAGACCCCTAGGCCTGTTTACTGTATAGCCCCTACATCATTCTTCACTGAGAAACCCAAAGATGCAGTCTCAGCTAGCTTAGCCCAGAGGCTAAGGTGAAGATACTCTCAACTAGGCTGGTAGAGCTAATAATATACATACACGTTATGAATTTTACCTCTTTCAATCCCCACCGTAATCCTGATCAGATGGTGGTAGTGGTGGTGTGATGTAGGTGCCCTGTAGGGCCTTGGCACCTAAAGAGAAAGGGATAAAAAGACCCTTGTCTCTGATGCTTTCAAAGTAGCCTTCCTCGAGGCATTAGGGAATCTCTGGGGGTCCTGGAAGCTAAAGGGCTGAGATGCCTGGGGCATGAGTCAGTTAGATCCAATAAAGATCCAGGAAAAAAATGGCTGGTAAGTAATTTTGCTATTTCATTTGGTGCAAGAGAAAAGGCAAAACACCAGAATACTCAATGAGCCAAAGCACAAAATGTGGCATGGATGGGTGAATGCAGGCTGACTCCTCCTCAAGAATATTTCTAAGCGCGAATGAAGCATTCAGTGCTGGGGCTAATGTACAATAGTATGCATTTTATACCATGTTGACCCTTTTGTTTCTCTGCTAGGTGAAGATGAGGACGAATTTGAGAATTTCATGCTGCCACTTACAGTCTCTTTTGAAACAGTATTACAAATATTCAACAATAACTTTAAACAAGAAGATGTAAAGGTGGGTTTGTTTCCAAACATGAGGAAAGACAATTTTGTTCTTTCTAGGATATCTAGATCCAGAAAAGGGTTTTGCATATCTCTGTGTGTTCTGTGCCTCTTCAGACCTGTCTCCCTGGTTGCATCTGTCTTTGAGTTGTACTTTTCATATAGGCACTTTTCTAGTTTCTTATACAAATAGACTTTGAAGTCAGTGAGTAGTTTTGGACAGTCAGTTCATGATTAGATGGCACAGATTTGTCTCTTGTGGCAGTTACTATCATTAATAGAACCTTTCTCGTGGGTACACCACTTTAAACATCTACCCTGCACTGTATTTTTCAACATACTCATATTTATATGAAGGAATGCACAAACATATACATGCTAAAACACTACATCTCTGAATATTTTTTTAAGCAAGAATATATATAAATCAAGACCTTATTAAATGACTAGGCATATATGTATAAATAGGAGCTGGTCTTGAAGTATTGCATTCTTAAACTGAACAAAGTGATTAGGATAACTGATAGCTAAATAAGGTTTTTATGTGCCTGTGGGAGCCATATTAGGATTGATTTGACAAGTCAGTTCAGCTGTGGCAACAGTCATACTATCTAAGACAACATTATGTTTTATTAGTAAAATCCTTAAGTGTAGCAAGCTGTTTGTGGCAAAACAGCCCCATATTTTAAGGTGGGGGATAGGGAGCACAAGCTCTGTTAAATAGAGATAGTATTTCCTGAAATTATAATGCATCGGGGCTATATTAAATAGATTGACACTGATTATTATTTTTAAAATACTAATAAATGCACTCCAGAGAATTTAGGCACCTTTGTTCATGATGGTTGAGTCATATTTTATTGTTATTTGGAATATGTTGGAAATATTAACCACCTTTTGCATGGCTCTTCTTTTCACCCCAAAAATTAGCAGTAAGAAGCCAAATAGAAAAATGATAGCCTTTGGTGATTATTTTTGTGTAATATTTATACCAAAAAATAATCAGCCAAATACTATACCTTTTAATTTAAAATAGTTTTTGAAATGAATGTTTATCAGAATGCCATAGTCATAGAATTTTAAACCAAACAGGATCTTACAAATTGTGTTTATGTGTGTTTATAGTCTTGCTGAAATTCAACCAGTTTCCACTCAGGTTAGCTGTGTTTTTTAGATGTCTTCCAAATATTTTTAATGACCAACAAAATCTTTGCAGCTTTATCAAAAAGAAGTGAGGTTGAAAAACATCATCTTTATAAAAATTACATCTCTGTCATCTGAAGATTTCATTATATTCCAAGCCCATTTTGATGTAATGCCCATCTAGTTTGATAAAAACCATCTTCTAAGAGTCATTTTTAATGGAGTTCCAGTGATATATTCCTAAACCAGCAAGTTCTTAATGACCCTGGAAAGTGACTGCTTGATTACACTTTAACGGTATTTGCAAATAAAATCACAAGTAATTAAGGAGGAATCTCCAGGCTTTTGAGCAAGTTTGATGCATGATAACTGCCTGATTCAGCTTCATCTAGAGTAATGCTGTGTAGGCAACAGCTACTGAGATCAATAGCAACGTAATGATAGTGGCAGAATTAAGTGAGTAACCTGAGAACTGTGCCTCAGAATGCATGCAGCTGCCACGAACCAAGGCCACACAGTGCACTCCGTGCTTCCGTCCTAAATGTTCATCAAAAGACGCCCTGCAGGAAAATGGAGTTAGATGCTCTTTATTGCTGATCGTGTCTCTTGCCACATTTATCAGGGAAATTGGATTAGCAGTTGGCAGCTGCAGGTAGACAAGATTCTGCAGTGATTAAATATGCAGCTTGGCTGCATTTGTTGTGACAGACCTTTAGTAAATTCTACTGTAAGCACCATCTGTCTAATTTGTATAAAGAAAACTTGGTGCTTTAAGCTACCGATAAAGAACTAAATCTGTTGCTTTATCATAAACAAAACTTTTTCACTAAATGCTTTTAAATGTAATTTATTAGGTTAAGGCTATTTTTCTATCATGATGAATAAATAATACATGCAGAAGTGCTTTCAGGTACTTCATTTTGCAAGTACTAAAGATAAAAACAGTTCTGTTTTGTTCTTCAATAAAGTATTTAGTATTCCAATCCACAGGAGATGATGCTTTTAAAATATCTCTATGAAAATGCCACAGGACTGCCAAATTCATTTAATTTGCAACCCTTATCAAGATTTTCTGACTCCCCATATACAGATATTTTTCAAATGCAGATTTCAGGATGAACTTAAACATTAAGGACCTACGTTGCCAAATTGAAATATAGTTGTAAGGGGAAGAAATGAAGCAAAACTCTTAAATTTATAGCTTTGTTTTCTTACTTAGTCCTAGTAAAATTGAAAAGAACATTGAATTTTTGTCTTGGGTTTTTCTTTTCAAAGAAAGGGAAAAAAGAAAGAAAATACTGTGACAAATCCTGGCTGTGGAGAAATATTTCAATATATATGTTTTTCCTGCTGTAATTGTATTCATAGTACAATTCAAAAGTCTAGCACTCCCCTGACTCATGCATCATTTTTAATTTGACCATGACGTCATTGTTTTTGAAGGAAAATGAATGAAAACTTCTCAGAAGAAGAGGAGCAGTTAAATAGGAACCTGCTATCTTTAGTCCCTTCGTAAAAACTCCACAATGTTAAATTATTTAAAATCCTTGATTTTCAGCATGCACACATTAAAAGTTTTTGCACTAAGTGCCAAATGTTGCAAACAGCACTTTAACAGAATGATTTTGCTTTGATCCCTGTAGCAGTTCCTGAATAATTTATCACAGGTTATTGCCTTAATTCTGGAGAGGGATAGAGCAATAAAGGCAGATGAAAACACTCCAGTTGAAACACCTTGGGGCCTGCTCATTCCTCTGACACGGCTCTTTTGTTGGAACTATTTAGAGGTTATTAAGATGTGTCTCCAGAATTAAGAGTATGCTGTAAGGATGAAGACAGCCATCTTAATTCTAAAGACAAAGCACAATGACCCTTCACCTTCTTTTTCTTTGTTGTTATTATATAGTAGAATTATGAGGATAATATTATAGCTGCCCCCAATAGTGCCACTACAGTAAAGGGTCTGTCAGACTTTCCATTAGAAACCCTGTTTTGGGGGTCAGGGTGGAAGGAGCTGTGTTTCAGCTGTTTCCCAGCGAATCTGTCTCACGCTTGGCACAAAGACAACTGTTCACCGTGCAGCAAACTGAAGCACTCAGCACTTTTCTCCTTGAACTATCCAAAAAAGAATCTATAGGACTAGATCCCCAGACCTACCCCACTCCCCAAAACAGACTCACTAAAAATATGGGGAGGAACCTCTTACTTTTCCGATCAGTTTAGTATAGGAGAAAGGCAACGTTTAAAATAAACCTCTTTGGTACTATTTTAAATGAGATGGTTAACTGTGGTTCTTCCTCCCCTAAATTTCAATCAGATCACCTCTTACTCTCAGATTATTTAGTAGCCTGGTTGAGCTCCTACTTAATAGTTTTCCTGCCTCATACCAGAGCTGGGTATGTTTGGGCTATAGAGAAAATACTCTCTGAGTATTGTTTGTGTATCTTTATAGAATATTACTGTCCTCTCTATGGCTTTAAAATAAAAGGTATTGTTTGAGCATAAGAAATGTTTCTTATTCACATTAACACTGCATTTTCCTGCTCAGTTGAATCTATTTAAAACATACATTTAGTAATATGCTTCCTCTGCTCTGTAGTAACATTTCTAAAATTAAACATTGGTATAATTTCATAGCCACATCTTATTTCTATTAACTTGGCATCTTTTTTTTTTTTCCTTTTTGTCTTTTTTTGTGACCAGTAACGGGATCGCAACCCTCAGTGTCGCGCCCGTACTGCGACCGGCAATGGGACCGCAACCCTCGGTGTCGCACCCGCACCGCGCTCAACCAGTGAGCGGACCAGTCTCTATATGGGATCCAAACCCTTGGCGGGAGCGCCACCGAGCTCCCAAGCGCCGCACTCTATGGAGTGTGCCACCGGGCCGGCCCTTAACTTGGCATCTTTTTTTTTTTTTCCTTTTTGTCTTTTTTCGTGTCCGGCAACGGATCGCAACCCTCAGTGTCGTGCCCATACCGGACCGGGACCGGCAACGGGATCGGAACCCTCCGTGTTGCGCCCGCACCTTGCTCAGCCAGTGAGGAGGAACCGGGC